ACAGCTGACTTCAAAATTCAAACCATAATGCTGTTAAACGTTTTTCTTCAGTGGGTAATTGCTGATGCCTGAATATTTACTTTTAGGGGGAAAATATAAACATTGCATTAAAGATTGCAAGTCATGATTTGTCAAATTAAAGGAAAGTTTTGTAATGCCCCAAGAAGTAGATCATTTGCAGACCTTTTTATTCCTGAATAAAACCCAATTCTTTATGCTCACCTAGCACTTGTGTGGAAGAAAGGACAGACTAGTCATAAAAAATGCAGAAGAAACTGGCTTGCTTTTTATATACAATTTCCACAGATAAATAGCTTAGTAATTGACATTTTAATCTATGCCAACTAATCATATATTGTACTTCAAAGAGCTGTATGCAACTTTTTGACAACCAACAATTCTGACAATCTGAAGGTAAAATCACATAATTTCAAATTAAGCTGTTAAAAATTAAGCCAAGAATTTCCCAGTCACGATGCCCACACCTTGTGGTTTTTTTCTGTTCTTTAGATGGATTGTCTACCTTCCCATACAGAGGATTCAAATCATGCAGCTATTTTCAAAATTGTGTTATTTATCAGGAAATATTTTGAAAATATATTCAGGAAATAGTATTCATAATGAAGCATTTAATAGGACAAACCCCCTAAGAGTTATACGGACTAATTATGTAAATAAATTATGCACAGAAAACTGGTTTAGGGAAGTATATGCATTACCTTCTTAAACTGTAAAATATCATCCATATTTAGGTTTATAAACCTGAGAGTTGGGAACTACTGAGTTCTCTTGGCTAAAGCCCAATATTGGCCTTATTTCAGTTTAATTGGAAGAGGATCTTGAATTCATCTTCTCCATGAGATATCAGGAACCTGGATTTCTGTTTGTACCAAAGGTTAATAAGAAATGTGTCTGCAAAAGTCAAACAGCATTAAATACCAAAAACTGATTATTATTCTGCAGGAGTTGTTCTGTCATTCATAATCTCTCCATGCCCCAACCTTCCACAGCTAATCTTTAATGGATGACATGCAGGAAAGAAAAATAACATCTAAAAAGGGACGCTAAAGTGAGCTTTGAAGAAATGGAAAATACTTTTCTTCTGTGCTGAAAGTTATTGCCACCCAAAGTTTATTGCTGGCAAGATTACTTATTTCCTCTCACTTTATGGATATTAAATCAAATTAACTCTAAGCTAACAGCCACTTGGATATTTGTTTTTACTTTTGCTATTAAATCTATGGCATATGCATATTCATTAATTATTTTTCAAGTTAATTTAGAAAACTTCAAATAATGTTCATTAATATTTCCACACCATATTCAAGAATTCCAAAATACCACGAATGTATATTCACAACATTTTCATAAAAACAGACCTGAAATAGAGACTTCATTGTAGGTATATTGCCCTAGTTTCCAAGAGACTGAAAGTTGTATGATATATACCACCATGTTAGAAGCACTGCTTTCCTCTTTTTCCACACTGTATTTCCTATCATTACCTTGGTATTTCAGAGAGCATCTACAGTTCTCAGGTAATATAAATGGTGTGAAACCCCTAACAGAGCTGGACTCAACCTTGCTGAGCTGCTGTTGATTTAAGAAAGTATTAAATTTTGGTAACTTTATTATTAAGATACTGGCATAAAAAAACCCCAACTCATGGAACATCTGTTGCTACAGAAAGATTTAAGCATAAGTATTTTTATTTTATTTTTGCTCAGAATTATTCTTAATCTCAATATATACTCTGATAGCAACAAAAATATTCCAAGAGCTCCGGTTCTGATGCCAACTATCTTATCTTGCTGCAGTAATGGCACTGTGAGAACAGGGCTTTGATATTTTTTCCAGTCTATTACCACTATGCTCTATAACTCTCCCTTACACTCTACCAGCTCCTTCCTCTACAAGTTCACATATATATCCCCTGCTTAATTCTTCCATTAGGAAAAAATGAAGTCACTTACTACATCCATCCAAAGTGAGATCTGATCTTTCAGCTCGGTTTTTGAAGACTTACTCCTTTGCAATGCCTCCATCTTGATTTTCAGTCTGTCCTCAGAAGATGTATGCTCCTTCCCCTTTCCACTCCCACAGATGACACCCTTTCCCTTTTCTGTTCAACATATGAAAGCTCTGCACACCCAAATTTCAGATCTGGCTATTCTTCATACCCGCTTCCTACGTGGTGTTCCCTTTTTTGCTTACGCTATCCTGGTGTCTGTTCTTTTATGATGTGTGCTTGCCTGGCTTTTCCAGATGTTGCCTCCACCTCTGTTCTTCTTCATGAGAGGGAGTGAAACTAACAGTAACTTCTGACATTGGGTCAGAATGACACAAAGTCCAACAGAAGAATAATGAATAAGCTACAGGAACCTGTGGTTACTATGTCCACCAGAAACAACAGTCTCCAATGACTAAACGTCTGAAATCAAAACTTTAAATTCTCTAATTTTCTTTAGCCATATCTAGCTGAAATAGAGATAGGGGTCCAACGAAGTTTAAAAATATGTTTTCAAGGCTAGCTAACAAAATTTAAAAATGAAAACATTCTGAAAATAAGTTATTTACTTCATACAGTATAATACTTTTCTTCCATCATGTATATCTTCTGCTTTAATTCTACTTTTTCTTCTTTTCTCATGAAGCATTGCACAAATTTACCCTTTTTTCTTTACTTTTTCTTTGAACAATTTAAAAATCACAAAATTAAAATCTTTGGATTATTTGTTTCTGTAGACTGTTGTAGCTTCATTTCAAAATGCTCTTTGTCTTCACTTTTCAATTCTTTCCATGAGGTAAAACCTATCAATTAGAGGGTTACCTTTCAAAACAGAATTCTAATATTCCTCAAAGTAGATAACACTTTTATGGTGTACCTTTCTTATGTTCTTTACAATATAATTTTGTGGAGTCACTTACTTATCATAAAGTCAGTACTAAGTAATAATAAAAATGCAAACATCCATATTTACAAGCTTCACTATACCATGTGTTACACACTGCAGTAATTAAACATTAACTAGTAACCTGAAATCGCACAGCATGTGTTCTCCCTTCCTCAAAGAACTTAATGCAGGGGGATAAGTTTTTCCTTGAACACACCGTCTGTTCTTTATTAGGTTCTGCTTGTCCATTAGAACTCTCCCCAAGGCTTTTATGAGAGAGACACACACAGGCTTCCACAAATCCACTCTGGTTCACATAATTCCAGATTTTAAACCATTTATCCAAATTTGGTAACATTCTTAGAACTGTAAGACAGGAAGCAAAAAAAGTGTGAAGTATTAACGATGCTTCCTTTTGGCAAACAGTTTAAGTAGTAAGGAGCCTCTTGCCCTCTCTCTTCAGCATTTAAAGGATTTTATACTTCCTGTACTCATAAAAGGAGAAAAAAAGGTTATTTTTTAAAGGTCATTGTTATTTCACTATGTAGCTGTCTTTAAAATTTGGTTTATTCTTCCTTTAAAAACATAATAAGCATGTTAAATTATTATTTCCATATTCATGCCACTCTGTTTTGAAGAAAAAAATATGCTTAGGACATCAATAGAAATTTTAAGCAGTAGTGTAGGAAAATAACAATTTCCTAACAAGTATTTCAACCATATCCATAAAAATGAAACTATCTGTGTTTTTGACACACCTTTCTTTCCAGGTTCTAATGAGCAATGAACACCTCTACCAAAGAGAACCTTGTACAGAAGTAAAAACACTGGGCAAATATCCAGGAACAAACACAAAACTTCATATTCAAGCCAAACAATCTGCGTTAGCTTTCGGCTGGTGAATATAACAATGACACATGCATAGTGCAGATTTTTCTTTTGTGTGAAAATAAAGCAAGCAGTTATGTGAAATTAAATAAGAGTAAAAATTATGCCTGTATTTAATTTTTTCCCTAAGATGTTGATTAGATTTGACTTTCCCTTCCCCCACCAAGAAAATCTAGGAACTCTCTTTTCCATCTATAATATTCACACCATACCATATTCTCAGAAGTTTGTTATTAAGTGGAATGTCAGCCATCTGTTTTTCAGCTAGAGAGTTTATCATCTGCTCCATTTTCCTGAAGACAGTTACTCCTCCCTTTAGTACAAATATTTTGGGGACAGCTATTAGTACTATTAATACTCTATGAAGTGTGTGTGACCTATGCGGAAACAATTTTACCAAGCTAACACTTTCTTTCTGAGCAAATGATTCAATGAATTTATAAAAGCACTCCCATTAATGTTTTTTAAACATCTTCATGAAAACCTGAGATTATTTTTCATCTACAGGGTACACTGTATACACAGTCACTTTTCAATAATAAGAATGCCCAGCTTTATTACATTAGCAGTTTCCACAAGCACAGAATACAAACTGTCTCCATGCTTGTATGTCTATCTAATGAACAATTAACAACAAATATAAGCACATGTTCACTTTCAGATATAAACTTAAAAACCTTTCCTTCTGAGAATTCATATAAACTTCATTCACTGGATATATGGCATCATGTGACAAAAATTCATTTTAACTACCAAAAGAGCAGATTTTTCAAGAACAGCACAGGTCCCTGGTTGAGGTGAATGTGAGACTATCTCCAAACACGGAGAGGGGGTAGTATTGCTCTGAACCAGCTAAAACAATAAGTGGTATTTGAACTGCTGGTTGAAAGGTAGAGGCACTGGTAATCATTATTTCCCCTTGTTTGTTCAGGACCTTCCAACAAAACAAACAACCTTTTTGTGATTGGATTGACATGGTGTTAACAATGCATTTAATGCCCAAATCAGTATGAATACAGGTAAAGCTCCTACTAATACCAGTACCAGGATGTTAAAGCCATCTATTTTCTAAGCAACTCTAAACAGCCACACATAAAAAAAAAGTCAAATCTTCCCTCCTTTAGCAAATAAAGCTAACATTCACCAGGCCACGTCATATAGCAACCACGGGTACTGTATGAGCCACACAGCCATCTGTTAAACGCTTGCCTACTGTACCTGCAATCCTTTCTGCAATCTTGGCTTCTGTAGCTCTGTCTTGCAGTTCTAAGTCCAGTTTCATTGTCTTCAGCTCCTTGTCCTTTTCAGCCAGCTTATCTTGAAGCTGAATTGAGCAAGTGGACAGTAAGATTCTTATCTGGTTGAAACTGTCAAGAAGCAATTCAACCACAATAAAATTGCAAACAATGATTTCTCACCCCCAAAATACAAATACTAAGTGTTAAACCAGAAGTTCAATTTATTATATTTACATGTTTAAAGAACAACTGTTAAGAATATGATTTTTAACATCTGGGCTACCTTGCTCCATGAGACAAGCAGCAATGCACATGCCAGTGTTTTTATTTGTGATTCTCTTACTCAGTAGTCCTTCTTGCTGAGGAAGTTCAGAATTGCACGGAATATAATGTAGGTTGTTGCATTACTAGCCTGTTTTCTACCAAGATACAGACATCACAGTCTGAAAAGACTGGTGTAAATGCATATTTTTCATATTCTCCATCAGATGGAAGATTGGTATTCTTTCACACATCAAGCCCTTTCTTTTAAAGGGTATTTACTAAATCCGTTCTTGGACAGATATCTGAACTTGAATATTCAATGACACTTCATGGAACGACTAGAGACTGTTAGATTTGTTTAGGCACATGCAACCACAGCTAATACTTAAAGCAATGCAGTGTTCAAGGAAGATGGAATTTTCTCCCCTTCAATAAAGCTGAGCTATCAGGGCACATTAATTGGATTCTACCCATGAAATCCTGGTCTAGTCTTTGGTCTTCATTGGTTTTCATCCAGGGTACAAGAATCTATGCCATTGATCAAAAAAGTCAGAGAGTAGGTTGGAGGGGTTTTTTTTTAATTCCAGAGAAATAGTTGTTAAGCAAATACTAAAAATCCAAAATTACAGGAAACTAGTGATTGGTGCACTAAAATAAATAACAAAACTAAATCAGGCACAGTTTAAAATGTATGTTCTGCAAGGCAATTATAAAAAAGCAAATATTCGTATCTTGAATATCTTAATTGTACCTTTTTATTTTTGGCCCTCAGAGTGTCCAATTCTTTTAAAAGGAATGCAGTTTCTGTTCTTCCACCTAAATCTTCAGCATCATTCCATGAGGATATAAATTCAGGGAGCATCCTGCTATCCTTTCTTTCTACACTGCTGCATTTTTGAAGGGTTAAAAAAAATAAATGAAAAATAATTAAAAAACCAGTTGTTATTACACCCCTCTGAAACAAAATGCAGAGAAATAAATTATCAAGACTTGTTAACAAACTTGTTAACCACTGTAAATGTATTAAATAATCAGAAAAAATGGATGCCCTTCTGCCACTTCTTAAAGCTGTAATTCTGAAAAGAATCTGCAAATCTGGAATAGTAAATAAATATCCTACAGTACTAAGGCAAAAACCAGATGAATATAAATGGGCTATGAAGCCTATAAACAGCAAATGATTAAGGAAAGCAAATACTAAAAACCATTGCTTAACACAGAGAAAAAAGTAATAAAACATTTGGGGATCAAAGTGATGCTCAGGTCTAAGCAAACCAAATTTTTTTGTAGAATGATTCCACAAGTAGTGATATGAGAATATCCATTAAAAAAATGTAGGAATTCGTCTTGAAGAAATCTGTAAAATGATGGTATGATTCTAAATATTATAACTGACAACAGGAATTCCATACTGTATGCCACCTGGAGTTTTAAAATAACTTACTAGCCATAGACAACTTAAAATAAGACAAGATTCAATGGCCAGGCAAATTCTCTCAAAGTAAGGCTCTCATAAAACTTCTTGAGTATCCATTGATACTCACAGATCATTCAGACCTCGTTTGTAACATGGCAGCAAAATTAGTAAATGAATGATTAGAAAGGAACTAGCAAATATTTTTAATATTTGCTTTAAGCATTTTCTGGTTATACATTTCATCGCTAATAACCGATAAGAACTAGCCACAGAAAAGCTATACCCTCTGAAATCCTGCTTCCACTGTAGACATTACTTTATTTGTAATTCACATCCTAGAAATATAAAGAATGCTATCTATTGCTCCAAAGAGTCATTATCTTAGGCAGATAGTTGCTGACTTACTGATTGTCACGTGGGAAGAAAAATTTCCCTATATTTACTCAAAAAACATGTGTATATTGTCAATAATCTGAATCTAGAAAAATTATATAGAGGGATATTTCCTGGGTTTACCTTGATTCTTCAGGACCAGAATTACAGTCAAGTAGGACTCCTCCTCTTTGACTGCTTACTCGCAAATCTGAAAGTTTCGGTGCTTCGGTTTCTGCCTGGATAAAAAATCCTGCGTTTTTTTGAGAATTCTTATAAAACTGAAGTTCAGCATAAAAGTCTTCCTTTTTCTGATCCAAGATGCATGTTTCTAATTGGGAAGAGAAGCAAACACATTTTCTCATTTGGATAATGAAGCACAAATTAAGATTTTTCATTTGAAAATGGCTTGTTATAAGAATACAATATAGTAGTAGAAAGGAACAAGTGATTTAGTTTCAGATTCCGAACTTCTTTGTCCCTTTACTAAGGAATGAGACCTGTTACCTACAGCATGGATGGATGTAGGTGGGAATTACAACCCATTTACTGGATTTTTCTCATGGAAACATGAAAAATTCATCATCATTTCCTAAGCCCTCCTCCCCCTTAAATGACTTCTTAAAATAATGCTGACTGTAGAAAATTATTTACCTATCTCTTAAAAAATTCAGCTCTACTATAGTGAGATATGATGAATTTCTGCTATAGAGAGGGAAATTTTTAGGTTATAACTAGACTCTTATAGTGAGGTTCCTTTCAAACCCATTTTGGCTACAAAAGGAGTATCATCAAGCTGTAATTAGTAACAACAAATTTAAAGCACCATTATTCACTCCTGGAGAGTGTGAGGTACAGGCTCATACAACTAAAGAACTTGAAGAATGCAAAGCAGAAATTGTGCCAAAAGGAAAAATTATCTGATTAAAATGTTGAGTGTGATAGCTAGTTCTCTTAGCTTGGCTACTAGATATTTTTAGGACATATTTCTGATATCAAGGCATTTAAATGAAAGAAAGATCCACATACCACGAATGCTCTTTCATAAAGTAAGAACAAGTACCTTTTAATTATAGAATTATATTAAAAAATGAGAAGGAAGCAGCCTAAAACCACTGGAAATGGAAAAAAGGTGCATATATTTTTCATTCTTTCATTTAGATTAGTAGAGAACAAACATTGGAGCTTTTGCTTATTTAATAAAGTTAGTGTTTCCAAACGTTTTGGATAAAATATAGGGCATATATTATTTGATCCACCTTATAACATCCTCCTCAAAAATAATAAGAAACTGTCTATACAGTTGAAATCAAGTAGAAATAGACCAAAATTACAAATCAATTACTATAATGTGGCCATCCTGCAGGTAAACACAGTTGTAAGCACAGTTTCCAAGTAAAAAATACTGAAAACTGTTTATCAAGTGTATTGCAACAGATTCCTCTTTCCTTAAATGAGGAAAGACACAAGATCTCAGGCAACAGCCCAAGGGCCACAAGAGATGACTTGGGAATTGGCTGGAGTAAGTTTAACAACTTCCAATATGGAGCTATGTGTTACCACCTCCAGGAAAAAGTTATGGGACCCACTGGTCATCTGTACTCTCTGCATCCACTTCAGTACTAACTTACTTGAATCCACTCTAACCATTTCTGCAAACTGCAACCACTGATCTTTACACTAGATTAAACAACAATCAACAGAGTATCAGCATCTTTGTCTTTTGATAAGTACAATACTACTTTCAGTACTGTGACTGAAATATGTTCCTCATAACATTTCACACCTAGTGCAGAAAGAACACAAGGCACAGCCACCTGGATTCTTCAAAACAAGTGTATGCTGTTTCCACTGGATTGAAATCCTGCAGGTTTTTGAGCAGATTTCCTCTGAAGTGCTGCTACATCTAAAAACTAAACTTGATCTCTTACTCCTCCTTATAGTAGGGAGCAAGGATCTCTAAAGAAATGTATGTTAAAAAAATCCCAACCAATATTCTCCAAGAACCTGACTCAGTTTGGGAGTGACAATACATAAGGGCAAAACTTTGAATCCTTTCCGGTAAGTACTACCTGAAAACTAATCTAGTCTGAGTTTCCATACTTGCAAAGTATTTTATAGGGAGTTGTGTTTCCCATTTGATTTATATTATAAAGAACTTCCTATGAAATATCCTGTTCACTTCTCCTGTTTCAGATGCAGTGTCTGTATAAATGCAGTTGCAAATTATGCTCCAGGGGAGGTGCAATGCTTCACTTGCCATGACAACTTTTCCTCCTCCTCTCTAGGGCATCCACTTATTCTATAAGCTATATATATATGTGAAGTGCCTCAAGCAAAGTGCGTCACACTCTATGGAAGAATTCAAGCACAATGTATATCTGTTGAAATAATCAGTGACAGTATTGCCAGGAAGCTTTGTTCTTTGTTTAGCACCATGGTACTCTACTTTGGCCCTATGAAAGTTGGAGAAGAAAAATCTCACTTCAGAGAGCTAAGAACTTTAGATGATGTTTTAGGCTGCTTCTCTTCCCTTAGCATGAGAGCAAGTTTTTATTCTTTTCACAGTTCTTGTTTTGTTAATTTGCTCCTTTCATTCCAGGATTTAAGAGACCACAGAAGAGTCACTGAAGTTGGCAGAGACCACTGGAAATCACCTTGCTGGCACCTCAATCATTTGTAACAGGAAGTTGTCCCCAGCAACTTCCAGATCACCTGAGCCCTGCTGCTGTCCTTTCAGCAGATCATTAACATCACTGTAGTATCCCATGGGAGCCTGGACCTTTGAACATGAGAGTTCTTCCAATTCTCTGAAGAAGGCCTCATCTACTTACTCAGCCCTCCTCCATGCCCCTCCCTGTTAGGAGAAGGATCAAGGCAAACACCACCTGGGTTCCCACACCCTGATCATCAAGCCTGGAGCCATACAGTCACATGCAACACTTCCCAGGCCACCCCCACAGTATCACTAATGCCTGCAGGGAAGAGCAGCAGGGAGTAAGAGGGTCAGATGAGCATCAGCAGGCTTTCTGTAACATTCTGAATATGAGCTGTAAACAAGAAAAAAAGTCTCCAGATGACAGGTCAGTTCAGAAGGCAGATTTTTATTTTTAAGACCAGAAGTGAACATGACTGCATGATGAGGTAAATATCTGCATTAGCAGTTGCACTTCTGCTAAATCCTTAGGCCATGTCAAGATCCGTGTTTTTAACTGTAAACTACTGCAGCTAAAGAAAAAAAAAGAGAATTTAGAATTGTACTAGAACTGTGTTAGTATTTAAAAATGCTAATGCTGCTTCTTTAGACAACATACATCTGCAGGACGCCTTTTCATCCAGATTCAATTCCCTCAAGCACATGGGTAAGACTAAGTAGCATCACAGGAAGGCTGTAAGTGGCATTCATGGAAATATAAGGTAAAACACAGAGGATCTGTTTTTTCTCCACTGGCTTTTAAGAGAGAAGATGATGGCAGCCTCTTCCACCCAAAACTGAAAGCACTCTGCCCAAGGGCATTAAGGTGAGAGGTTTTTACTCATTTAATAAAGCTGTAATGTTTTTTTTAATCAGCATGCAAAATTTCTCAGTAGAATGCTTTGGGGAAGACATTTTGAACACTGTCAGATCAATGGGCATAGGATTCAATTTATTTTTAAAACCACTTTATTCTTCATATAGCCCATGACCCTCACATCAAATAATTTAGGCTTTGGTACGTGGTAGCTTGTCTTGTTGCTAAACTAAGTGGCAATTTTAATACATGCACTTCAGTGCTTTTTTCCTCATGCCTCCTGCAAATTGTATCGTGCACTAATTACCAATGCTGCAGAAACACACTGGGGAGTAAGTAGCATTTGCAATAATCAGGCTGCACAGGGAACATCAGAGAAAGGGTAAAACAGCTCTGCAAGCTTTGGAAAAAATTATGTAGATTTCATTAAGTAGTACCACCACTGCTGATTCTGGTTCTTGAGTATACTAAACAAATTTTTTTTCCATATAAAATGGTACAAGTTCAGTAGCCCAGATTAATATTTCACTATAGGGAGAAGCTGAACAGCTGATCTTCTGTATGTATTTATCTTGAATGAATAGCTTGTTCACATTGCGGGAAAGAAAAGCAAATGTTAAGAAGAAGGAATATGAAGACACTAGAATTAAATCTGGGAATTGATTGTGAGGGACGTAAGGGGAAGATAATGCTGTCATGGCTGGAAACAGTAAAGGCAGAATAGAATTCAATGTTGTTAAGCTAGGAGTGGTTCAAAAGTCAAGTAAAAACATTAAACACATCATACTGTGCAGACACCCACTATTCTCACAGCTTCTTCTGGGAAGCGGGGGATAAGCACTGAGATCAGGGAAAGCACAGCATTAGAGAATCCCACACCAACAGTGATAAATGCACAGAAGGTGCAGATTCAACTGGAAGACTGAAGAGGCAATAGCATCCCTCGTTACACCACTCAGCACATTCAGCTGTCCCATCATCCAGCAGAAACTGAGTGGACACCCCCTTCCCTCTGTCTTTCAGCACCCTACTAAAATGCACTGATCACCTCAGAGGTTTGCAGGGAATCTCCACAGGATAAGAGTAAAGGGAAAAAACCCAAAACCCAACGGAACATGCACACAGACTACGGATCTGGTTGCAGATAAGTATGGGGACACTAGAAGCTCCAGGTGCAGCAAATCAGCTTCAAGTGTAATAGGACTTACAGCTTGCTACCTATAGCTTATTAGTATCTGTTTTAAGCTGGTCTGTGACATGTACATAGTATGTTCTCATCTGTCTGCAAAAGACTGCATGAGTGAACCAACCCCTAGCAGGATGGCAGTAAGAGACATAATAGGAAAAAGCAAAAGCAGAAAGGAAGAGAATGAGCCATAGACCCCCTGGTAGCAGGAGCAAAGATGACTGCAAATTCAGTAGCTACGACACTGTGACACTTTCAGATTAAATACGTTTGAAAATATGTAGAACAAAACATTGTGCTGTATTTGAGGCAGTCAACCTCAATTAATAAAAGCCTCCATAATTCCTCCTGTTAATCATAGAATGTTTTGGGTTGGATGAGACCCTAAAGATCATCTAGTTCCAATTTCGCTGCCCTAAGCAGGGAGGCCACCCATGAGATCATGTTGCCCAGGGCCCCATGCAGCCTGGCCTTGAAAACTTCCTAGGACAGGGCATTCATAAATTCTCTAGACAACCTGTTTCAGTGCCTCATCACTCTGGTAAAGAATGTCTCCAAATATCTTACCTAAATCTGTCCTCTTTTAATTTGACACTGTTTCCCCTTGTCCTATCATCTACCTATCTGTGTAAG